AGTACTAGAAGAAGTAGTAGGAGGAGGAGGAGGAGGAGGAAAAGAAGGAGGAGGAGGAGGATGTGGACGCCCGAAATGGGCACGGAAAGAATGGGTACAATGCACAACAACAAATGTTGCCCCAAACCCACAGCGGCCGCTGTTGGGCAGGGCGCCCTCTGTCTCAAATGTACACAGGCCGCGGCGACACCGACAGCGAGTCGTGTTCAAAATGAGCAAGAACTGCTGTTGGGCATTGTACCCATTCTTTCCGTTTCCATGTCGGGCGTCCAAAGGGGAGGAGTAGGAGGAAAGCCCTCGAAGGGAGGCCTGGGCATGAGCACGAGAGAAGGCTTCGGGGCCGGACGGGTTGCCGGGGGGGGGGAGGGGGAGGGGAAGCCCCGGCAGGTAAGGGAGGCCCGGAGAGCTCCTCCTCCTCCTCCTCCTCCTCCTCCTTCCTCCTGCCTACTCCTCCTCCTCCCCCTCTTCCTGCTCCTCCACCTCCTCCTCCTCGTCCCCCTCCTCCTCCTCCTCCTCCTCCTCCTCCTCCTCCTCCTCCTCCTCCTCCTCCCCCTCCCCGTGCCGAAGGTGTGCATGGCCCCACTCTGGTGATTTCGGGGAGGACGCACGGGGCGGCCTGTTAGGAGATGGGGGATCTCCGAAGAGCACCTCCCCTGAGTCCACTGGGGTTTCGCTACCGGGGCGACACAGGCCAGCAGGTTGTCGATCGGCATGTTTGTTCGACACATGCATTTGGACATGTTAATGGAAATGATATCTTTGAGGGTCGCTTTACGTTACTCCTACCCCGATCCCCAGCCACGCCGTGGGAGAGTAGTAAGATAGGGTCATGCGCTGACATGTTGACAGTGCTGAGGCCATATCCCAAGGGCAGAGCGGAATGCATAAGCGAAGGGCAAGAGGGAAGATCGAGAGTGAGAATTCCATTCCCCGGCCACGCCAGGAGGGGGCATCTGGGTAGGTTTGTCGAGCGTGGGCTGGTGCGAAGTAGTGCCACAGAAACTGCAGCAATTTCTGCCTGGCACCTGAGACGCCCATCACCTCACCCAGCGGTGAATGATTACATGTACGACTGCCGGATCAAGGAGAGAAGGTAGCCCTAGGGCCGTTGTCAACATCATCTTTGGTCTTTGTAAGGCACCCGTGCATCCTTCTGTACCCGTGAGGGGTTCGGGTCCTTCCTTGCAAGGCCTCGATTTTGGGATTTGCGCCTCCGGGCTGTTCCCGGAAGCGCCAGAAGCACCCCTCTTCCTCTATCCAAATAAAGTTACAGCACCCCTAACTCTCTTGGTTACAGCGGTGAGCGTGGGCTGGGGCGAATCTCATTCCCCAGCCACGCCAGAGGGTGAGATTGGGACAACCCCGTCGATTCACGGTATCCCAGCAGCAGTGCGCCACGTTGAAGCGAGAACGATCCCCGAGTAGGACCCCACCCCCTGACACGCAGAGGGGAGTAGTAAGGTAGGTGCAGTAGTTGCCATGTTGATAGTGCGCAAACCATAATTGATACCAAAGGACAATGCGATGCGGTTGTGATGTGATGCTATGCGACCCACATTCCAGCCTTCCAGCCCTTATGCCCTATGGCCTATGGCCTATGGGGCGGTCCTCCCAGAGGGCAGGTGTATGGGACACGCAGTCCCTGCTATGGGCTATGGGACACACAGCCCTGATACATTAAATGGAACGCACAGTCCCTGTTATGGGACACACAGTCCTTGCAAATGGGACGCACAGTCCCTGTTATGGGACACACAGTCCTGGCAAATGGGACGCGCAGTCTCGGTTATGGGACACACGCTCCTGGTACATTGGATGCGCAGTCTTGGTTGATGGGACACGCAGTCCCCGCGCATTGGAGGATGTCCCCATGTAAATATGGCAGAGGCGTCTCTTGTCTGGTATTGCGTTATCTGGTCTCCTCCTCCTACTGCTCCTCTTCCTCATCCTATTCCTCCTCCTCCTGTTTCTGGCCCCGTCCCCCAGCCTTGTCGTGGAGGAGTAGCCAGGTAGGTTCATGCTTTGATGTATTGATAGTTCGCAGACCATAGTAGGCCGTAACAGGCCTGGGGTCTGCGCAGAAGCACGCGGGCCATAGGTGGCCGCATCAGGCATGGGGGTGGGGGGCTTACCAGCCACCGTGCAAAGGGCCCGCGTGTAGGCCATGGGTGGCCATAGGACGTGCAGTGGAGGGCACTGGCGCGAGTGTTGCACAGCATAGGCGTGGTAGTAGGCGCATCTTCATAAGTGTTGCATCAATGGGAGTACGAGGACTGGCACGGGGCAGCTAATTGTGCTTCACAGTCGCCGGGCGGCCCTCCTCCGGGAAGAGGCCAGGCAGTTGTAAACCATCCTGCTTCACAGCCGTGGGGGGACCTTACTCGTGCATTCCGGGTTCCATCCCACTTGAACTAGCATTGCATATCAAACAGTTTGCACCACGCAGGGTAGCATGATTTAGCTTGCAGATAGTTCAGTGCTTTCTGATGTTTGAGTCGAAATTGGAATTGAGCATAGCATGCCACCATTGTCAGGGCACGAAGCAGTAAAACATTGCCCCTGCCTTAAACGACAGCCGCGACAATCCTCCTCCTCCCCCTCTCTCCCTTTCCCTCGTCGGAGGGGGGGGAGCGGAGGAGGCGCGAGGGAGCCGCGCCCCGCGGCCGGCGAGGCTCCCTGCGAGCCGACGCGGCCGCGCCACGCCCTCGGTGGCAGGCCCGCCGCGCGCGGCGAAGGGGCGAGCTTCAGGAGGCGGGCTGCGGGCGCTCCGCGCCGCGCTCGGGCACGGCGCGCTGCAGGCGCCAGAGGTTCGAGGAGCAAGTCGTGGCAGAAACATGCCGTCGAAACGACGACGACGATGACGACGACGAGGACGACGACGACGCCGACGCCGACGCGATTGACGACCACGCCCCTCCTCCCGGACCCTCCGCCTCCAGGCGCGTGGGCAGGACAGGGGGAGAGATGACAAAAGAACTACAGTCGAAACGCTGTCATAAAGAACCCTACGACCCTCTGCGAAACTTAACGCAAGTTTCCCCCCCCCCCCCCCCCCTCCGCGACCCCAATTTCAATGTTCAATTGCGCGCGAGGCGCGGTCCGCGGGCGCCGACGAAAAAAAAACGAGTCGCGCGTTTCGGCATCAACATTGAAATTTGGGGGTATGGGGGTGCCGACGCGGCGCGGGAAAAACTTGCGTTAAGTTTTGCGGAGGGATGCAGATAGGAGCGAGGCCCTTTTTTCTCGTAAGGAAATAAACTTCGAGTTATCCTAGAAAGCCTGAGGAGCACCTAAGCCAAACCGCAGAACAAGTAAGGAGCAGTGAGCCCTTCTCTAAGGAAAAGGGCTCCTCCTCCAGCGGCCCGACTGTACGGTGAGGGCATCGGATGAGGAACCATTGGACAAGAAATCCAGGATCGGCCAAGGAGCCATTGGATAGGGAACCAGGGGATGAGGAGCCAGTGGATAGGGAACCAGTGGATAGGGGACCCCTGGATTTGAAACCACTGGATCGGCGACACGCAGGAAGGGCCCTGGGCATGAGAGTGGCCAATCACAAGCGCGCACCCAAGGAGGAGGAGCAGGCGGAGGAGGATGAGGCGACGGGTCGGCGATCGGCGAGGAGGAGGAGGAGGCGACTATCGCATCGCGTTCGGCGAGCGGGGGACCCCGTTGGGCCTGCACCAAAGGTCACCCTGGCGAAGGGTCACTCCTACGTGCCATCGATCGGATAAGGAATCAAGGATCTAGAAGCCGGTGGAACTCGAATTGAGCCTTGGCCATGGATGCCACCTGCGCTCACATGAGATGAAGAACCCTCCAGGGTCTAAAGCCTCCCGGGCACGTTCCTTAGCCAACGCCCCCACTGTAACCTTTCGGAGGCCCCACGAGGCATCCCTGAGGACTCTGCCCCATGTCAGCGTCGTCGTCGTCGTCGTTGCCGTCCCTCCTCGGGGTCGGCGGCATCGGCCGAATTGGGTTCGCGCGCCAGTGAAGGGGGCTCAGCGCCGATCCGAGAAATCAGCGCGGACCTCTGAAAGTTCATGTTTATGCGACTACTTGCTCCTCGAGAGGTGGCCGAGCCCAGTCACCCAGACGTCGGGTCCCCTCCCGAACTCCACGTTCGAGATGTTCGTGTTGAAATTCACCTTCGCCAGCAGGGCTCTCCTGCCGAGGTCGATGACCGCCAGCCCGTTCGGGCACGAGGACCACATGCGCCCAAGCTCGTCGATCCTGAACCCATCGGAGAGTCCGGGACCCTGCATCGGACCAAGCTCGACCGGGCTGAGCCGCGCGACTTGCCTCAAGGGTCTGATCTCTTCGACTGCTCCGTCGATGATGGCAGAGGCGTCGTATGCTACCCACGATGGCCCTTTGGCGGAACTGTTGGCCACCCAGAGGGTCTTCTCATGGAATGCAAGGCCATTGGGCCGATCGAGCTCACCAACAACGAGCGCCAGCTTACCCTCGCTCCAGCGGTATACGCCTGTCTTTCCAGCAGCCGCTCTACACCGGTCATCCAAGTACGGCAGATCGGCTGGATTGTAATTGCCTGCGGCTGGGGCGTCGGTCGGCTGCACTGGCACGAAGGGATCCAACGGGTCCTGGGGCGAGAAGTGCGAGGAGGGGAAGGAGGGGGAGGAGGGGGAGGAGAAGAGGAAGAGGAGGAGGAGGGAGGAGGAGGAGGAGGAGGAGGGAGGAGAGCAGGAGGAAGGAGGCAAAGGAGGAGGAGGCAAAGGAGAGGAGGAGGAGAGGAGGAGGAGGAGGAGTTGCAGGAAGCCTTCGTGGCGACCGCAGGTCCAGTCCGCTCCTCCTTGGCCCCTCTCGCTCATGGATGGCGGGGGAGACGAGAGGAAGGGACGGGGGGAACTGCTCCTCCTCCTCCTCCTCCTCCTCCTCCTCCTCCTTCCCCTCTTCCTTCCTCCCTCCTCCCTCCTCCTCCTCCTCCTCCTCCTCCTCCTCCTCCTCCTCCTCCTCCTCCTCCTCCTCCTCCTCCTCCTCCTCCTCCATGGTAGTCCTGGCGAGGGTTTCAATGCAGTCAGGCAGCTTCCCACCCCCCAGGGAAGGAGGAGGAAGAGGAGGGAGAGAAGGAGCATTTACGGAGCTACGGATGTTGCGACCATGTCGGTTACGATAAATTTAAACGGATCGATGGGACCTTCTGGCTTGCTCGACTTTGCTGTAAGTCTTGGGCCATATTCCTCTCTCGATATGAGAGAAGTCCTCTCTCTGAGAGTGTGCCCTCGGTGCGACGCGGACATGGACTCCCGAGCTTGGCCAACTGTTGGGCCGACAAGCTTCGACCTGTCCTGCAGAACCGAATGCCACGCCCAGAGTGAAACTTAAGATGATGACTATTATGAGCCCCCACACACATATGTGCACCCTACTCTTGGGTCGGGCATGTCCCCCTACAGGCGGATGTTGGACAAACAAATCATATATATATATACACATACATACATACACACATACATATATATATATATATATAACACTACAAAAATGGTCACAAATAGTTAGAACATCGTCCACCGAGTATTTTTGGACCATGTTTGAATGTTCCTCCTGTAGAGGGACAAGCCCGACTTGGCCCTACGCCCGTGCTGGAGATCATGCATGCCACCGTCTATCGCTCGCAGCCGAAGGCGGGGCGAATCCGGCCAGGTCCGACGGGCAGCCTGGGAGGTCGAGCCTCGACACTGCAGACACGCATTGCCAAAGGGGCCCAGGGATGCACAAATCAATGCACACAAATCCCAGGATCCACCATATTCTTCATTCTTGTGATTTTCGTCTTCCCCCCCCCACTGCTTCCCATAGTTTCCCATATTTTCTAGGGTATCGGCAACTAATTGTGTCTGTGAGTTTGTTCCCCTCCTGAGTTACCCTTTTCAGAAAGGTGGTGCTGAGTCGAAAGCTCGAGCAGACTTGAGGAGCCGGGGGGCCTAGGACCAGGGTGCCTGACTCAGGCCATCTGAGGCTCCTCACGAGGCAGCGCTAGCTCAGCTTCGCGAGACCGCATGATGCTGACCAAGGTGCGCATCCCGATAATAAAGGCCACTCGCTCGACCTGGGCAACCCGAACTCTGCCACTACCTGGGATCTTAGCACCGTCTCCCGCTAAAATGTCAGCAGCTGTGTTGCCGACAACCAGGAGGGTCGGGGAACGACCGGAGGAGGAGGAGGAGGAGGAGGAGGAGGAGGAGGACGAGGAGGAGGAGGAGGACGAGGAGGACGAGGAGTAGGAGGAGGGGTGGCCGCGTTCGAAGCGAACTCCGAGGCCGACAGCGACAGGAGGAGAAGGAGGATCGATCCCCAAACGCCCCCCTTGCAACTGCATTGGAGAGGGTTGCCGATCCTTCTCGAGGAAACCGTACACGGGATCGGTGAACCAAACGGCGCCGTCCGGCCCGAGGATGACGTCATTCGGCGAGTTCAGGCGCGGGCCATCCGGAGAGACGCTGTCGGCCAGCACATCGAACCTCGGCTACACGCAAGAGCCGCCCTAGGCAGGAGTGACCTTTCGTGCTTGGAATAGGGGGGCGCAGGGTGGCCGAAGCCAGGCGCGCAAGCGGCCACTGTCGCACCGCGCTCAGCGATCGGTGGGCCCTTGGCGAGCCCGCACCAAGAGGTCGCTCCGGTGACGGGCCGCTCCTGCCTGCAGCCGAGAACCTGCTCTCGCAGAACGGGGCACCGGGCGCCAGGTCGGAGAGCTTCGCCCTGACGACGCGGTGGGTGGGATGCTGGCAGACGTCCGGAGGAGGGCCGGTCGAGACAGCGGCGGCCCTCGCCGGCGTCTCTGCAGCCGCTCTCGGCCTCCCGGAGGCTTCGCGTCGCCGCGGCGGGACCCGCCTCGAGAGCGGGTCAAAGGCAGCCCCCGGGAGAGTCAGGGGCGGGTTTTAAGTAGAGATGTTTGGGGCTGGGCGGGAGAGCCGCCGTTGCCTCACCTTGCCCTCCTCCGAATGTAGATGTCTTCGCCGGCGAGGGTCATTCCATTGCTGCCAGGCTCGAACAGCTTGTCATAATTCTCAACGTTCTCGCCATCGTAGCCACCAGAGAGCTCCACGACGGGGACCACTTTGCGGTCATCGTGCGAATATTTGTAAATACGGGCATCGACAGTATCAGAAAAGTACAAGGCGTTGCGCTGCTCGACCCAGGTCGGGCCCTCGGTCCAGCGAAATCCAGAAGCCACAATGTCGACCTCGTTCTTCGCGAACAGCTGGGAAAGAACGGCGGGATCGCCTTCGAATGTCACCCGCTCCTTGTCGAAAGGGCCCCACCGGTCGCGTCCCTCACTCAAGAACGTCCCATCTGGATTTTAGGATAACGAAACATGACATAAGCATAACAACTCGGAGGTCCGCGCGGATTTCCTGGATCCGCGCTGGACCCCCCATCCCTGGCGCGCGGAGCGCGCCAGGGGGCGGCGCCAGAGGCGCCGCCAGGGGGGCCTAGCGCCGATCCGAGAAATCCGCGCGGACCTCCGAGTTTTCATGTTTATGTCATCGTTCGTTTCCCTAGATTTGGCGCGAACGCATCGCAGTCCTGACCCATCACGCAAAAGGACGACCTGGTGAAGGATGCTGCCACAGAGCCCAAGCACCGAGCACACCATGCCAGCCTTGGGACGTCGCCTTAAGCCAGAGCGGCCATTTGGGAAGCAGGAGGAGGAGGAGGAGGAGGAGGAGGAGAAGGAGGAGGTAGAGGAGGAGGGAGGGAGAAGGAGGAGGAGGAAGGAGGGGGGGGAGAGGGGAGAAGGGAGAGGAGGAAAGGAGGAGTGGAATGAGAATAAGGAGAAGGGGGAGGAGGAGGATGAAGAGGAGGAGGAGGAGGAGGAGGAGAGGGCGAGGAGGAGGAGGATGAGGAGGAGGAGAGGAGGAAGGAGGAGATGGGAGTGAGGAAGGGGAAGGAAGGAGGAGGAGGAGGAGGAGGGAGGAGGAGGGAGGGGAGGGAGGAGAGAAGTGGGAAAGGGGGGGCATTCGCCGAGCGCTCCGAGCAGCGGCCGAAGCGCGTCCCAGGTCCTCCTCCTCCTCCTCCTCCTCTTCCTCCTCCTCCTCCTCCTCCTCCTCCTCCTCCTCCTCCTCCTCCCTAATCCTACTCCTCCTCCTCCTCCTGCTCCTCCTCCCCATCTCCAATTATCCTTCCACTTGTCATCCTCCTCATCCTCTCCTCCTCCTCCTCCTCCTCTCCTCCTCCTCCTCCTACTCCCTCCTTCCTCTTCCTCCCCCCTCCTCCCTCCTCATTGGTCCTCCTCCTCCTCCTCCTCCTTCTCCTCCTCCTCCTCCTCTCCTCCCCCCCCCTCCTCCCCCTCTTCCTTTCTCCTCCTCTGCCCCCTCCCTCCTCCCTCCTCTCCCCCCCCTCCTCCTCCCCCTCCTCCCTCCCTCCTTCTCCTCCTCCCTCCTTCTCCTTCTCCTCGTCCTCCTCCTCCTCCTCCCTCCTCCTCCTTCTCCTCCTCCTCCTCCTTCTCCTCCTCCTCCTCCTCCTCCTCCTCCTCCTCCTCCTCCAGCTCCTCCTTCCCCTCCTCCCTGTCCTCCTACTCGTCGTCCTCCTCCTCCTGAGACGCTGAGAGGCTGATGGCAAGGGTGTTTGTCGAACGCTGCCGCTTCCCCGGGGGAGGCCTGGTCGGGCCCCCTGGGGGAGAACAACAATATCGAGAAAACATGAACCGAAGTCCAGCAGAGCAGGAGGGATGGAGAAGAAGAAAGGCATCACATCACCAGGAGGAGGGGACACGGGAGCGATCTGAACGGCAGCGTGGCTTGGCGGTGTGTGATGACAACAAAAAACAAGGCGAAGGCCCTCGGGCCGCTTGTTCTTGTGGTTGAGCTGGGCCCGAGAGAGTGGGCCAGGAAGTAATGAGGAGTCCCTGTGCGCCTGGGATCCTTCTCTTCACACAGCGTCTCCAATGACAGCGGATCCTGGCACTGTCGTCGGCCTTCTCGAATGCTTCTCGAACGTCGGGGTCGCTCTGCTGGGGCCCCTCGCCTCCACGTTGGTCCGATTCTGGAACGGTCGCCCAAGTGCCGAGCGCGAATTCTCGGATCCGCCGAGCGAGAAAAAGAAGGAACATGGCCATCCTTTTTTACGCAACGCCGCGCTCCACCGCTGTGGGGCCTCCACACTGACTGGCACCGGCTACGGCAGAAGCCGGCGTCGCCAGAGATGCCTGTCGCCTCGTCTCTGCAAAGGCAGGCATGCAAGATAGAAGCCTGTGCAGAAGCAGCCACGGGCACCTGCAGCAAGTGCGTGCCACGCCGCACAGACCTGCGGTCGGCGACGGCGTTTCGAGAGTTGCGCCTCAGGAGCCAGCCTTGTTGTATGGGTGGCCCTCCGACTTCCGACGGCCAGCTCGGGATCAAGGCGGCTTCTTGCAATCTTCTCGCCGGTGTCTCCGCATGTGCTGCGCCAGGAACGCTTCGAGCCGGGCCGGGCGACTCCCTGCTTGCCCGGGACGGGGTTGCGACAACAACCGAAGAAAACTCGATCGACCTTGCGCGCCAGTCTGACCTGCCGAGATTCCTGCCACGTCTCTTTCTGCTTGGGTCCGGCCACTCCGGCGTGGACTTGCGCGGCGTCCTCTTCCGTCAGGTCCTGCAGGGCGATCGAGGCGAGGACTGCCGCCACCTCTCCTTCACTAGAAAGCACCTTGAAGATGTGCGCTTCAGCTGGAGTGGCATCCTCGTCGATCGAGGTCTGTCGCGGCGTCCGTACGTTGAGCGCCACGGCATGCGAGCGAGAGGATGAGGACTGGCAGGGATGTGTGAGTAGAAATGCCTTCTCTCGAACGCGGATCGTAAACAGCGCCTGCCGGATCGCTGCTGCACAATCCCATCCCATGATGGGCGCCCTGAGCAACATTCGTTTCTGCGCGCTGAGCCCAGCTCTATCCTCGTACATCCGTGTTCTCAAATTGCCTTTGAGCGAAAGACCCATAGTCGCGGTTTGGGTAATTTGTTGGTCATTCAGGAGAGCGAAAGCCACAAGAGACCCTGAATGGTGAGTATTAGCGTGTTAGCGTCGAAGAGGGCCGCGTTCTGTAATTTTCTCCCCTTGTCGCTGGGCGCCGTTGTCCGTTCAGAACAAACAGATGTGCCTGCAGCGTCACCGCGCCATTGTCATCGTCGAATCCGCACCGTGCCGGGGAGAATGTCGCCTGCATGTCCAGGGGACGGTTCTCCAGGATATCGATCGCTTGGCTATGTGCCATGGTGTCCGTGCGTCTGGCCCAAGATCGAAGGTTCGCCGTAAATCTCTCCAGGTGTCCGAACCCTGACCAGCTGCATGGAGCTGAGTAGTCTCTGTTCACGTCTTCGGGAAGGTGCCTTACTTAGTCGGTCGGCCCAACCATCATATGCTGGATCCTGCTATTCCCATCCGTCGTCCGCTTGCCATGCCGTGTCGGTCCATGCAGACTCCCGCGCTTCCCATGTCGAAGGGTACCAGGCTCCTGTCACAGCCTGGATCAGCGCAGAACCTCACGGTCGTTGGCAGCCCCATGGTTCGGGACTCGTCTGCTGTTGCGCATTTCGAGCACGTTGTCTTCTTACCACGTCGTCGGATCCTGTTGGAGAATCAGCGCCCTGAGTTCCACTCGCTCCCGCCTCTGCTTCACTTCTCCTGCGACCAAGCTCCGCTACAATTGGTGCTACCGTGCTGATCTCCAGAGGAGGGAACACAGGGGACGAGAACGAAGAGATTCTTCATCGGGGGCGTCGCGCAACATACAGGGCACCCCAAAGAACGTAATAGCAACCTATTACAATATGGCTGCACAGTGCTGGCACTTGCTAGCCAGTCAATCTTGGAAGGAAGGGGGAAGGGAGAAGGATGATGATGATGATGATGAGGAGGAGGAGGAGACGAATACAACCTGCTCTGTCTGTCACCCGATCATATATCTCCTTTTGTCCATTCCTCCTCCTCTCCAGCCTCTTCCCTCTCCCACTCCTCCTCCCCCTCATCCATCTTTTTCCTCCTCCTTCACCTCCTGTTTCACTTCCTCCCCCTCCTCGTCGTCCTCCTCCTCCTCTCCTCCTCCTCCTCCTCCTCCTCTCCTCCTCCCCCTCCTCTCCTCCTCCTCCTCCTCCTCGTCCTCCCTCCTCCTCCTCCTCCTCCTCCTCGTCCTCCTCCTCCTCCTCCTCCTCCTCCTCCTCTTCCGAGCGGCTCGCCGCGGGCCGTGCAGCCATCTGCCCTGGGCCGCGCGGCCCGCCAGCGATTGCCCCCCAGCGCCACGGCCCGTGCGCGCACCCCTGCCGGGCACCGCCGCCTGCGGCGGCGCAGGGCGGTGGCTCGGGGGCGCCTGCGCCGTGAGCGCGGCGTGCGGGTGCCTGCGGTGCGCCACGGCAGCCGTGCACCCAGCAGCATGGGCGGGAGGCGTCGTCCCCCGTGGCGCTCTAGCTCGGGTGGCGGTGCGGGGCAGCGGGTGCCGCCGGAGCAGAAGAGAGCTCGTGCTGTTTTTTTTTGGTGGGGGGAAACCGTGCGTGCAGTTCTTGTGGCCACTGGGAGTACTCGCGTCATGGTCACCAGCAGAGCAGCAAATGCTCGTGCCCGTATGTTGACGGCGTACCCCAGCAAAGGCCAGGTGGGCTCAAGCCAGAAGGGGCTGCAGCGGCTCCTCCCGTGGCGCATTTCGGTGCAGCGGCGCCCATGCCCCCTGAGCTCCTTCGAGCACTGCAGGCGTGAACGCAACGCTGCCCACAGTTGGCAGGAGTGGTTGAGCAGGCCATGGCACCAGCTCCCAGCGAGGTGGTCGACTACACTGAGGTCGAAGCTTGTCCTGAATGAAAAGGAGCGCAACCACGTGCAGTCGGTTCAGGCTTTGGAGGAGGCCAGAGCGCCCACTCGCCATGCTGAGCGGGAGGAGAACTCTTTCGAACCCGTCGCCTTTCGCACGCAGAAGGTCGCGGATGCCAAGGCCAAGCGTGAAGAGCATGAACGTCGGGCGCGTGGGGGAGCTGCTGTTCCACCTGCTGCGGGTGGTCCTGCCGTCCCTCAAGGTGCTGCTGCTGCTGCTGCTGCTGCTGCTGCTGCTGATGGTGCCGCACCTCGGGCTGCTGCAGCACCTCGCCAAGCGCCAGCGGGAGCTGGCCGCCCCCCCCCCCCAGCCTCATGCAGACGTCGGTGGATGAGCTGCGCGCCTGGTGCGCGGGCAGTGGCGAGCGTTTCGAGCACTGGGAGGCGACCAAGCAAATGCAGCAGACGATCGTCGAGGCGCCAGTGGGCGGCGTCATGTCGGATGCTGCTGGGAATGAGTTTGGTGACGCACACCATGATGAGCTTGGCTGTTGCGCAAACGGTCGCTGGAGCAGGCCCTCGCAGAGTCCGAGCGAAACCGCATGGAGTCCATCCCCGTCAAGCAGGCATCCCAGAAGGCTACCAGGCGTCTCAAGACAATTCGTGAAGAAGGCGCTGCCAGCTTGGCCCGCGTCCTCGACCAGATGGCAGACCGCGGAGCAGGAGCGGCTGCCGCTGCGCGCGTGTCTGGCGGCGCTGGAGCAGGTCAGCTACGACTTTAGTAGGCCTGTGAGTGGGCCGCTGCCCACGGTCGTTCAGTTTCTTCTTTGCAATGTGACGTACTGGAATGAAGTGTCAGTCTCTTTGGTTCAGGGCGTGAAGCCCACTTGTGACGGTTTCTGTGAGCACC